CAGAAATCAAAGGACGCTGGATTCTGGTGAGTGATAAAATAAAAAAACCTAACACATTTTGGGAATTCTCTGATGCCAATTGTTTGTGACCCTAGATGTGTAGTTATCTGTGAGATTGATTGCTAAGGAATGTTTCTAAGTAACCATGCTAGTGGTTCTGACAAACAACATCGGTAAAAGTAAATTTGCTACCCAAATAAAAATACCTAGCTATATTTCAAAAGGAGCAAAGATGTCACAGTGACAGAAAATCTTTGTAGATATTAAGACTAAACCAGACAAAGACAGCTCAATGCCAGCCACACAGTTTGAACTGTGAATAACAGTTGTGTGTTTGAGATCAACATAGGAAGTCTTGAGATACAAGGTTTGTGGGACAAAAATCAGTAAGAAAAAAACTATACGCTTAGCCAACAAGAACGTGCATTATCAATAACAAAAACAATTAGAGAACAACAAATAAATGAACAAAAAACCCCAAAGGGCATTCTGAAAGTATATTACTTTGCCAATTAGAAGTTGCAGGCATATGTTTTGAATTTTCTATTGTTTTATTTGTAGAAAGATTTGGAAGCAGTATTATTTTATTGAAACATAATGCCAGATTGAGAAAAGCCCATTTCAAAAGGGAGTAGTTAGTTGGAAGGAAGGGCTTCCTCCAGTAAGTGTTTAGGTCTCCAGCTCTGGAGGGTGAGTAACGGACATCCTGAATGTAACTGGAGAATTCTGGGCGACTCAGCAAGCTGTCCAGGTCACTGTGGTGCAAATGTCATGGGCCTGTGAGGCAAGGACTCAAAGACTCCTAGAGCTCTGAGTTCCTGTGCTTCCCAGGAGGCCTACGATGACCCCAGAGCATACGTGATCCAGATCCTGAATCATCTGCTCCTGGGTGGGGAAAAATTGCAAATGCAAACTTGACAATAAGTTTTCCTTTCTGAATCATGAAAATCCAATTCAAACCAACCACTATAACAAAGCATTAAAATGCTCTCAACCTGGTATATCTGGCTGGTCAGGGGCCTGGCCGAGGAAGTCACCTCTGCTGTTCCCAGGACTGCATTTGTCCGGGATCCTTGCCTCCCGGGGGATACTGTGATGGATTCACATCCGCACTCCACTCCAGATCCAGGCAGGAGTGCACAGGGACTGTGGGAAGTGTGTCACTCTGGCAGAGTCGGTGCTCTTGAGTCAGCATCTTACACATAGCAGGATGTCAACAAATATTTGATGAATGAGAGAATGGTGTGGCAGATGAGGATCTCTGCTCTCCAGGTCACAGCCCAAGCTGTGCACACACAGAACTACCTGAACTTGCCCTGGTTGGCCCCACTGTCCCTGTGTGCCCTGATCTGTGCTATTCTGTATACCAGAAATAACCCCCCTCTTACACCCTCGGCAAATCACTATTCCAGGGCAATCTTGTCTTCAGAACCTCCTAGTTAGCTGCTTTCCTCCAGCCCAACATAACTGGCCCATGACCCTCTTACTGCCCATTTTATAGACTCCAAGGATTTGAGTATCTTGCTCACTAGCCTGAGCCTCTCGGGAGCGCAGTTGTATCTTATTTATAGAGCTTAGATTTACTAGGAGTTCTGCATGTAGCACAGAATCACATATATTACATGGAATAGATTATAGGCTATGTTAGAGGATAACAGACCCATGGGGTAGGTAGATCATTATCCTCATTTTACAGATGAAGCACAACATAGTTGAGCAATTTGCAGAAGGTCCCTTGCTAGTGAGTCCAATGCCTGTGGCTCCCCCAAAAGGCCCACGTCCTTATCTAAAACCTATGCACATGTTATCTGATATGGCAAAAGGAACTTTGAAGATGTGATTCTGCTTAGTATCTTGAGATGGGGAGATCACCCTGGAAAATCTGGGGGAATCTGTTAGAATCACAAAGGTCCTTATAAGAGGAAGGTGGGAGAGTCAGTGTCAGAGAAAGGGATGTGACTACAGAAGCAGAAGTCAGAAAGGGACAGAGATCTGCAGATGCGGTACTGTTGGCCTTGAAGATGGAGGAAGGGGCCATGAGCCAAGGAATGCAAGTGGCCTCTAAAAGTTGGGAAAGGGAAGGAAACATTCTCCCTAGGACCTCCCAAAGCAATGTTGCCTTGCCAATATCTTGATTTCAGGATTTCTGACCTCCAGAACTGTAAGGTGAAGAATTTGTAAGCCATTATTAGTTTGTGCTAATTTGTTGCAGCAGCCGTGGGAAACTCACACATTGCCTGTAAATGGAAACCAGGCAGAAACACTGACATGGGAAGGAAGGAGCACACTGCACTCCTGAAGGAGGTGGTCGACGGCCCATTCTAAGAGCTCCCGGGCCACAGCGGGTTGCGGTATTCCCTACTCTGTTCTCTGGAGGAAGTCTGTATAATGATCTGAAGAACTGTGAAAAGGCAAGCAGGACAGACCAAAACCCAGAATGTCACAAGCCCAAGGTGGCTCCCCAAGCCTGGTCTCTGTGCTGTGGCTTCCAGGAACCCTGAGCTGTCTCCTCAAAGATGAAGTCTCTTCACCAAAACACATTTTTACCGACAGTCTGGATGCCATGGATGTGCCATGCTGTGTGCAGCGGCCATGTACAACACTGGCCACCACCGCCCCAGCAGAGGCCTCCCGACTACCAGGGAGAGGGGGTGGGAAAGAGCAGAGTTAAGCCGGGAGCTCCCAGGGAAGCCCCTTCCTCAGGAAGAGGATGTGGCTACCCGGGGGCACTCAGACCTCCAGCCTCCCCCTCCATCATGGGGATGATGAGAGTCCACGCAGGTGACTTCCCATTGCTCTTGCTTTTCAAAAGCTCAGTCTGTGGGTCAGGTTGTCTGCCTGTCTGGTTCTCTCTCTGGTTAGGCAGCTGCAGAAGGACTAGTTTGATGAGATAATGAATACCAGCCTTGGTTACCATGAATCAGAGGCATACAGCCAGCTGAGTCACACAGTGGGGGTGGCTCGGAGAGCGCTGTTGTGTTCCATCTGACCTCACTCTGGAAGTGGGGCCAGATGTTCGAATGCAGCAGGGAACACATTTCACTCCCAAAGCTCCAAGTGCTGTGTGTGCTCTGGCCACAAAATGGCTTTTGGAAAGGAGCTTCATCACGGCCCTTGTAACCCAAGAAAAAGAGACTGCTGATTCTGGAGAAAGGCTGGGAAGGGGAGGGCTTCTAGGGATGCCCAAAGCCATGAAGATCTGGCCTGCGGCAGTAGCCACAGTCCCAACGTGACCTCACTTGGCTAAACGGTGCCTAAAGTCACTAAACCATGTCAAGCCCAAACACCATTCAATGTGTATAGCGAGCACAGGCTTAGTCATTGTCATCGCAACAGGGCGTTCCCCTGCCCCCCCACCCCCGCCCCTTGCTTTGCCTAGAGGGCCCCAAGGCCCAGCAGGTGATGGTGCCAGGACTGAGGGCTGCTCAGAGTCTAAGGTGGAAGCAGGAAGGGCTCAGGACCTGCAGGCCTCCCCATCCCACCTGCCCAAGCACATCCCTGAGTACTGAGGAGCATCGGAACAACTCCTCATAGCCGAGCTGAAGAGGCCTGCACTTTTCCTTGCCACCAGGCTTCCCTTTCTTCTCCCCCAGAAAGCTCCAAGTACAGAGGGCATCGCTGGCTGGCAGGGGTCATGGGCTTCCCAGCAGGACCCAGCTCCGAGAAACATCCATCTTGTATTCTGTGTCCGGTCTTGGCTTTCACATTCTATTGAAAACCCTAGCTTCAAGGTTGAGTCATCATTTTCTGTTCCCGTTTACTTCCCTCATCACTCCTAAAACCAAAGCTTCACAACAAGTCTGACAAAGGTCCTATCAGGTTTCTCTCCTCTTAGAGATCCTGCCTGAGTCTGCTTGGCTTTCAGCCTGGGCCTGGCCGACCACAGCGGCCTTGCCAGAGCTGGGGTCTCTGGCCAGGGCTGAGGTCATTCCTGCAGCCAGCGGGAGGAGGGAGTGACAAAGGACTCGACCACATTACCACAAGGGAAAGAGAACTGCAGGACAGGGTGGGGCTTCATTTGTGGATTCGTGGCTGGACTCGTGGGAGCTGGAGACAGGCACTGAATCTCAGATGGTTCTGGAGTGACGGGGCCTTTGAGTCCAGGTCTGCCCAGTGAGGCCTTGGATCTCTGACCCCAGAAGGTGGGGCATGGAGGAGAGACACGCAGGGGATGGATTCTCCTGACTTTTGCATCTGAGCTTCTGCTTCATGGTGGAGTTTTAGAGCAAGACCTCCCTCTTCGGGGTGACTGTGCATTGTGGGAGTAACACATGGTCACGGGGTCACAGTGACCCAGGTTCAAATCCTAGCCTGGAGATGTGGGGAAACTGACTTTTGGTCTTACAGTTTGAGCATCATCTTCTGTAAAACTTCACAGTCCCCAACTGAGGGGCTTGTTGGAGGGTCAGAAGAGGCAATCTGCACCAAGTGCCCAGCCTGAACTGGTGAACTGGTGAATTGGGGGCCTCTTGTTTGACTCAACCACCCACTTTCCCGTTTGAGAGCCACTCACTGCTCCCAGGCCTTCTGATCACAGATGTGCTCATGCTTCAAGTCTGATCAGGGCCTTCCCCATGGAGCCCTGGGTCGCTCACTCAGTTGGGGTCCTCTTTTGAGTACAAAGGGGCATTACTAAAATCTCAGTGGTGGTGCGGAAGTTCTGTCTGTCCGACTATGTGCTGTGCTATCTGAGGGCAGGAGTCACGGCGATTCATCCCTGTCATCCCATGGGCACATAGTAGGTGCTCCTGCATCTCCTGTTGGACTGTACTGAGCTCCTTAAGGCCAGGCTCCAGGCAGTGTCCGTTTCTGCACACCCCATATCCAGTGTGCCCCAGCCTCTCCCTGGGAGCCAATCACTCCCGAGTGAACACAGTGGATGCTGTGTGGACAGTGCCCGCCAGGAGTGGGGGCTCACCAAAACAAAGCACATACCTCCAGGCCCACAGCCCAGGTCTGCCAGTGCCTCTCCTGATGCCAAGCTCACAGCGGCCACGTACCTGGTCCCCAGAGGGTGACACACTGCTGCTCGTGGGTCTGGCAGATGCCATTGTAGCAGTAGCCGTCCACACCCTGACACGAGTGCCCATCATGCAGGTACACATTGGCTGGGCATTGAGGGCTGGCCCCCGTGCAGAACTCTGGGAGGTCACAGGAGTTGCTGGAGTCCCTGCACGCTGTTCCCGCAGGCTTCAGCTGGAAGGAGAGGGCTGGTTATGGCACATGTACCCAGGGAAAGGGACAGGCAGCTCTCAGCAGCACTCCAGGGGTGGAGCGGACAAGGCCATCTTAAAGTCCCACATAAAGGGGTGGGGAGTTCAAAGGAAGTCCCTGCTAATGTAAAGAGAGCCCATTAAATCAGATTCTCGCTCTGGGCTCTGGGGTTCACTGTCCCACTATAAAGTGAGTGGAACAACCAAGAACAGCCTCTCTTTAATGTCTCACGACATTAGGGTTCTCTGAGGAACACGCACGCACGCTGGCTGCTGGCACTTGGCACCTCAGGGGAAGAAGAGGGAGGGAAGTGTTGGCTGCTGGGCTGGTTGATTCTTAAGAAAAAGGTCTCTGGGTGTCAACACCATCACATGTCTCGAGGGGGCATTTGCATTTATAGTGTTAGCATTTGTGGGCAAGCTAATAAAAATAACTTTAAGGGCACAATCACAATAGCAAGTTTACTTTGTCATCATAGAACTGGAACTCTCCCTCTACTGTTTTATGGGGAGAAGAGGAGAAGAAAAAGGGAGGGGTAAAGGATGTTAGGAGCTATCTGACCCATGGCTCAGCTTTTTGTGGTTGAAGAAATTAAGGCTGAGTGGCCTGAGGCTGCACAGCTAGGGACCCCCACAAGTCTTGGGCTTGGTTCCCTGCATACTCCTCAAAGGTAAAGAGATAAGACCCCTGCCAACTTCTAGAAGATCTGGAAGTTGAAGGGAATTGTTGAAAAGTCATAACCTAAAAGTGGGTGACACCCAGGGATTGCTCCGTGGTCCTCCCTCCCGTTACTTGGGCATCCCCTGGGCACAGGCTCAGACTTGCTTCCACCCTTCTGCAACTCCCTTCCAGGCACCTTCCTCCACCAGTTGCCTGGGGGCCAGGGAAAGCCAGCTGCTAATAACATTTCCCATAAGTTAATCACCATTAGGAAGGGATGAAGGATATTTTAAAGCCGAACATTAAATGTTGTAATGCACTTCTAAATCACCGTGCTCACATGTGGCAGCTAAGAGGGAGTTTCCTGTAAGCAGAATGTCAGGATCAATTGCTTAATTAAAAAGAAATAAAACTCTACCCTTGGAAATGTTGAATCAAAAGCTCAGGCTTCTATTCTGTCAGATATCAGCTCTGAATAACGAGACAATGGAACTGCCAAAAGAAACGCAGTCCTAGCCAGCAGTAATGGTGAGAGCATAAAACTGTCATTCTTGGCTGGGCTGGGTCGGTGGCACCTTCTTTTGGGAGGATACTAAGATTGAGTTGTTTATACAAAACTTCTGGGACAACCCAGCAGGCAGACGTTCAAGGGATCAAGAAAATGAACCTGGGGAAGCCTCAGTGACGGTGGGTGGGGAATTGATCTTGCCTTGCTCTTCTTGTCAGCATAGCAGGACCATACGTGCCTCTGACAGTACACAGGAAACACTGAAAGTTGAACGGGGGTTTTTCGGTCTCATGAGTTTTCAGCCCCTAAGTAAACACAGGTGACTGGCAATTAAAGCGTGCATTTCACCTGAAGATTGGACGATACTAAGAGGTGGGTAACGCCAACTGGCCTGAGAAGGAGGGATGGGGAGTGCTGCGGGTAGTGCTGGGAACCTTCCAGCCACACTGCTCACCCTGCATCAGATTTGAACCACCTGAATCTGTTGGTGACCTGTGGGTCAAGTTGAAGCTCCAGTGACTTACCTGGCAGTCTTCACAACAAAGCCCATGTGCGCACACGGCATCTGGCTTCAGGGTACAGGTGGTGGCATTGCAGCAGCGATTCATACATTCCTGGAGAGGGGAATGGGTTTGTTTGACAGGGTCTTATGGAGGTAACCGCTCGCTGAATGCAAACATCACACCTCAAATGGCTGCAAAACGGAAGAAAGACCAAGAGGGCCCAGCTCCAGAACTGCGCACCTGCCTGACGATTATTTCCCTCTGAAAGGAAACCAAAGCTTCTGCTGTTTATCAACCAACTGGTCTACGAGTCCCTGGAAGAAGCGTACAGGTGCCCTCATGTAAGGTAAAGGAGTTGTGACAGAGGCTGGCCAGTTGGGGATGTCACTCTAGTCAGCAGTACACTGGGGCTCTGAAGAGGGGTCTCCAGGTGGATCTCATTGCAATGGACTGCCTCAGGATCCCTGAAGGACTTTGAAATTACTTAATCAAAATATACATAGATGCATACAATCTGTACTCTTCGAAAATGAACCCTTTTGGTCTAGAGAGTACTGGCACGAAATGAAGTCAAACCGAAGGCTTCAACCACAGTTCCCTGCGTCCCCACCAGGGAGGTGGATGAGACCCTTTTGCAGCCCAGGTAAGTTGTCACGTCTGACAATTCCATCACTCGGAAAGTCAGAAATGGACATTGCAACAACCAAGGAAGGAGGCCTATGGGCTGTGCCCATTGATTTGCAAGGGATTTAAATGGATAGATCAAGCATTCGATGCGTTGTCCTCTCTGAAACAAAAGTGGAAAAGAAATTAACTCCTTTATAATGCTGTGCTTCATGAGTACCCATTTTTCCATTTTTTTCCTAACAAAAACAAACAAGAGATTGACATTTTTTGCTTAGTTTTCAGCATAAGGCCTGCACACATTTATCAAGTGAAGCCCTTGTACTTTAGAACAGTCGAGTAACTTGGAGTTTACACATTTTAGAAGAAATGTAATTATCATAAGATAGAGCAGTTCATGGATCTTTAACACTGGGTAATCTATCAATGTTCTTTTATTTTATTCAGTTTATGCTATGATCTGAAAAATTTATATACTATTGGCTGGGGTGAAGCTAATCATACATAAGTTTAATAATATAATACTTTACTCCTGAAAACCATCTTTCTTGAGTTTTATAAATGTAATTAATAAAATTTTGTCAATAATCCAGAAGATTTATGGCAAACCTAGATACTGAAACTATATCCTGTGTAAAATTCTACGAATTATGCTCTCATTTGATGTTCCATTTGCTTCTATTATACATACGTCCAAAGTTATGAAATTTTAAATCTGCTTGAGGACTGTATAAACATCCAGAATGTGTGATATATACAATAAGATAAAACTGTCAACCAGAAGACATAGCTGTAACTTTTATGAAAGTAAGGGTTTCTAACCTGCGGACTTACAATTCTAAAAGAGTTTAGGGACTTTCGTTTTTTTTTAATGTAGTCCATTAATTGCATTTTAAAATCAGTGCCATCAAATATGCACCAATGCTATCCTGTTCCTTATGGTCTAAATGGCTCTATGAATGACACATTTACCAAATTGCAGGTTTTCTTGAAATTCCATGTTAAATCAGCCAACCTAAATCTGGGTCCTAAGAAATATCTTCCCCTCTCTCTCAAATCACCCAGTAATATAAGCAGCAACTCAAATGGAAATGCAGCCAAGCCAAATGGCTTTGACTTCAAAGAGGATGATAATGTGAGAACGATAACTAAGTTTAAAGATACTTGCGAGCTACTGGCATCCTACTGACTTTAAACAAGGAGATAAGGTGGCTTCCCCAATCCTGTTAGCTGGAAGAATGAGTGAATTGTCAGGATTTCCTTATGTTGATATGAATCCAGTGCCCTGTCCGAGAAGGCTTCAGCAATCAACGTGCCTTTAAACCACCCAGGATCTATTTCTTCTGCAGTACCATATTTCTCAGAAGAGACACATTCTTCATCTGCTGCTACATTTATTATTTTAGTCCTGAATAGAGAAGTCCAACAGAGCCAATGAATACCAAGTCTCCAAAGAAGAAAGAAAAATGAAACCATTAGAGAATTCTCTGCAAAGCCCTAATTGTCATTCTCAGGCTGTAGGTAGCAGACACAGATTCTTAGTCACAATGAACTGGGAGGAGACTGGAAGGCATCTTCTTGAAAATAACAGAGGTTACTTCTGGGAGCAAGGGAGAAACTGGGTTCTGTTTGGTGTTGGCAGAAGTTTTTTGGATCCTATTCACTCCTTCCCTGATGTGGTAACAGACTGGGTCCCTCTGTGGGCCAGGGAATGCCCAGATTGACCTGATGCAAGGGCATGCAGAATAATTCCAGGGCCTCGGCCCTGGGTAGGGGGATAAAGAACCTGGGTTAACAAGTCTTTTTGCCTAAAATTCTTAGGCAAGGCAGTTTGGAAACTATAAATGGATTATCACACTGCCAAACACAATTTGAGTTTGAACCTTGAAACTATTATTTTCAAATAATAACTACTTGAAACTATTATTTTTTGAAAAGCAAAAAATAAAAAAAAAGCAAACCTAAAAAGTGAGGCAAAAGGCTCACCTGTGATTTTGAAAGAACTTTAGATGAGGAGGATGAGAGTTCTCTTCAAATATCAAGAAGTTATGCTATAAAATGAGGACCTTAACCACAGAAATACAAAGTTGGGAGCTGCATGTGAGCAGAATTTGGCTCTGTACAAGGAAGGAGTTTGTAATAATCAAAGCTACCCTATAACGCAACATGCCAACCTACAGAGACAGCACCCTGCCAAGCTGCATGACTCCTTCACGGAGAGAAGAGAGAGGATCAGAATATGAATGGCTGGCACATTTTAGGCACTCAAGCATTTGCTGACGTGATGGTGGCGGGGTGGATAATGATGGGGGTGGGGTTGGTAGCAGTGATGCTGGTAGTGATGGGGACACTGGTGTGGCCGTGGTGGTGGCAGTAGCTGTGGAGATGGCAGTGGTAATAACAGTGGGGTGACAGTGAGGGCGGCAGTGACGGTGATGACGCTCATGATTGAAAGGGTGATGATGTTGGGTGGAGGAGGTGGGGGTGGCGACTGTGGAGATGGTAATGTTAGCCATGGTGGCCGTGACTGTGGCAGGGGTGTGGCTGCTGCTGGTGGCACAGGGAGCAAATGACTGCTAACAAAATCATTCCAAACCCCAGAGTTCATGGCTTCATGAAGAGCTGTCAAATTTATTTAGATTAACAATTATAAGAAGTTCAAATCAAAGACAAACCATTTTAAGCTAACAGGGCCTCTCCTGAGAAATATGAGTAATTTAAACTAATTCATTTTTTCCTTTAAGTAATTAACAAGGCCTACAAGGAATTTTCCCTTTGCATACCCCAACCCATGATGGTTTTAAGTTTTCCTCTGTTAATCTTACAAAGGGTTTCTGTAGCACTGTAATTAGGACTTGCTCCTACACAGCAACCACTCCCTGCTTGTTGTGAGCAAAATTAAACACCCCGGCAGACAATGTGAGTATCATGGTTAAGTTCTGAGTTTGGCAAGGGCATAAAAACATTAGAAGAAGCCACTTCTACTTCACACCCCCCTTATTCCCACCCAACATTACACACTTCCAACATTCTTGCAGAAACTGTCAGACCAAGCTCATTCCTTCTGGTATGCAAAATCTCAGAGACTTGAAAATGGAGGTATGATGAACATTCTGTTTGCCAGTTGTGTATTTGATGAACACAGGAATATACCAGGTGCTCCAGAGTCTCAGCATGATTTCTCCTCCACCCTAAATTCTCTCTTTCAGAGCAGCCCTTGGAGATGCTCTCCTAAGCCCTCGTTAAGTCCATCTGTGCATTAGCTAAGCCTGCCTTGAACTCATCGACCATTTCAGCTTGCAGAAACTCTCGGGGAGGGAATCCCACATGTAGACTGCCAGCTGTGCAACGGCTTGCTTTAATTTATTCTAAACACAACCTCCTCCAAACTTCGAGGGGGCACCTGTTTTACTAGGAGGTCTCAAGCTGTCTTCTCTCTTCTTGAGATTATTCAGAGATTAAAAAGCGGCTTTTATAATTTTTATGTTGATTATCTAGGGCCCTATTAAAACAAGGACATTTCCTGATACTGGCTGGAAAACAGGGTTAAATAAGCCCTGTGCTAGATAAAAATGTTCCCTGCCTTCACTTATTGCTTCTGAAAGCTACAAGCACGAGGGGCAGAATGCCTCAAGTTGCGCAGACAGAGGCGTCTGTGGCAGTGAGGCAGCATTTTAACTAGACAGGAAGCTCTTGGTGAAAAAGGAATGCTGCTTACTCAGATTTCCCTCTGGTAGCCTGTCTCACAAAGAGAAAGAAATGATGCTTATTAGCGATTTGAAGCTAGAATTCCAGGGCTTTCTTCTCTGTCAGGCTCAAAGCTAAATGCTTTTTCATTGTTTTTGTCCTCATCTTGCTGAGAATGTTGTACCCTTTGATAGAGAGGATTATTTATCTATTTAAACCAAGTGATCATTTATTCCGTGCAATAGTTAAAATTCAAGAAAGCCACCCTAGCTCATGGGGCTTGTTCAGGGTGGCCATATAGGACTCTTTCTTCCTGAGTTCCAGTACTTTCATCTGCCTGTACAATTCCTCCACGTTCTCTCTTCTTTGCCTAGGCAAAGATACAAGGTTTCCTTGCATCCTCGTTCTGCCAACTGAGATTAGGGTATCCTACGGTTTAGGAGGCGGAGGAGTCTGGTTCTTACCTCTGGCTCTCCACAGTCACACTCCTCTCCTTCTTCCACAAATCCGTTCCCACACTTCTGGCCCCCGAAAGACTGCTTGACTTCCGGCAGGTTGAAGAGGCACATCCCCATTCCTTTCTCCAGGCTCGTCTCCAAGTCCTTCTTGCTGCAGCTGCTGAACACCATGGGAAATGGGTACCTGAGAAAGGAGAGCCCAGAACAGTAAGTCACAGGGCATGGAATGGCTTTGCCTGCCCTTCTTGTGCCCAGAAGGAACCCGCTGGGCACATCGGCCCAGGTGTTCACTGGTGATCTCAATGAATGAAGGCTCAGATATGCAGTATAAAGCGAGGCACATTCAGTTTCATCCTGACATTCATTCCTATACAGTGCCAATGCCAATGATGAAGGAGTGCTTTATCATAAAATAAATGATCTTTTGATGGTTTTCAAATCAACAAGTTCAGGCAGAACCTCGTTAATTAAAGACATTATTAATAGTTCTGGGTGAAATGATGCAACGAAAAGTGAATTCTTAGCGACTGTCGCTTGTAATACAAACACATACCAATGTCTTTATTGGAAAGTGCAAAGAAGAAAATAGTACAATCGATGGTGTTTATTAATTCCATGGTTCCAAGGACACAGGGTTCCACCATAGGGCATAGGCTGCTCATATTGGCATTCAGGTCTATAAAAGTCAAATCACTGTCTCCCTCAGCACGGCTGTAAGAGAATGGAGGTGGTCCAGAAATGCAGGTCTTGCCCTTGCCTCTCAATTCCAGGGCACCAAAGGGGCGTGGCAGGGTCAGCCAACTCTCCAGCAAAGTTATGCCCCCCTTCTGTGCTCTAGAAGGGCTTCCCAGCACCCATGTACCTGGGTGGGCTGTATGACTAATTGTTGGCACTAGAACATGAGCCAAAGTGATGTAGGTCACTTTTGGCTGATGGTATTTAAATGAGTATTCCTTCTTCACATCCTTCCTTTCCCCATCTGCCAGCTGAGATTAGGGTATCCCATGGTTTTAGGAGATGGAAGAGTCAGACGTGGCATCTAGTCCTAACTCACTGTAGGGAGGAAAGCCACCTGCAGCTTAGAGCCTCACAGCATCATACAGAAGGAAAACACGCTTCTAATATGGTAACCCACTGAGCATTTGGGGTTTGATTCCCAAAGCAGCCAGTGTTATCCAACATACACAGAGTGTCTCACTTTTTACAAATGCATTTTCCCATGGCTTGAGGCAGCAAGGATTATTAAGGTATAAGCATGCCAGAAACCCAGAAAGTTTTATTACTTAGAGAGGGAGCAGGGCCTGCTGTCCAGCAAACCCAAGCACCCTCTCCCAATGGAGACGTTTATAAGGATGACATTAGAACTGGATCTCAACCAACTGGCCAAACCAGCACAAGCTGCTACATTTCCCTGATGATGGTAGACCAGCTGCCGCTTAATGACTGAGCTTGGCGAACTTCTGAGATAATGATTTCTAGGATCAGCTGATAACACTGCACCATCCTCTCCAAGTGAGTTCCCCTTTTCTCCCCACGTATATGAGGCATGTCATTAGCCACAGATTTTTTTTTATGACCAGCTTTTTTTTTCTTAACTTTATTATTTTATTTTTTGAGACTGAGTCTCACTCTGTCACCCAGGCTGGAGTGCAGTGGCTCACTGCAACCTCCATCTCTCAGGTTCAAGTGATTCTCTCCCTCAGCCTCCTGATTAGCTGCGATTGCAGGCACCCATCACCACGCCCAGCTAATTTTTGTATTTTTAGTAGAGATGGAGTTTCACCGCGTTGGCCAGGCTGGTCTCAAACTCCTGAGCTCAGGTGATCCGCCTGCGTTGGCCTTCCAAAGTGCTGGGATTTCAGGCATGAGCCACTATGCCCGGCCCTTGAGTTTTATTTAACTTTTATTGTAGGTTCAGGGGTACATGTGCAGACGTGTTATGTAGGTAGACTGTGTGCTAATGGGGTTTTGTGTACAGATTATTTCATCACCCTGGCAATACGTATAGTTCTCCACAGAGTGCTTCTCCATCCTTTCCTTCCCCAGGGTCTGCTGTTCCCCTCTTTGTGTCCATATGTACTCAGTGTTTAGCTCCCACTTATAAATGAGAACATGTGGTATTTGGTTTTCTGTTCCTGCATTAGTTTTCCCTCCAAGTGTTTTCTATCAACCTCAGGCTATTAACTCTGGAGTATATTAATAATTCTAATCTACAAATCAATTAATAAATGAATGTGCTGCTATATGGATGCAAAGGTAACACCCCAGGACTCACTCATAGTGCTGCAACAAGGTTCCTCTCGAAATCTTTGTAACTTCCTTTGGCAGACAGACCGGTTATTCCTGGTATCAAAACGACACTGTCGAGGTCTAAACAATGGTCCGTGAGAAAAATGATAATGTCTTTTCAATTTAGAAGAGTATTATATTGAAGTAATTGGTACCATACACAGGGAGTTAAGAGAGCTTCACTTTGCAAAAATAAATAGAAAAATAAATAGTAAATATCATGGAGGTACAGATGGAAACTTCTGTATTTGAGAGTTTTCCTAGGACATTTGTGTCTCTTGGCCTGATCTAGGACACGAAACATCATTCTCACTCAATGATACGCAACTCAGTTCTGTGACAAACCATTATCAGTTCATTCTAGAAGGGGACTGATTTCTAGAAAATATTAATTAGGAAAGACCCTAGGATAAATGGTAAGTCTCAGGAAGGGTTTATAGCAAGAATCACAGCAGTTAAGAAAAGCTTGGACAAGAATAGTATGAATTGCCCTGTTTCCCAAGGGAGCAGAGAATGTCCGCAGATCCCAGGTATTGGAGAGCTGAGACCAGCTCCATTTGCTAAGCTCAGACAAGTCTTCACCATCTCATTCCTTTCAAAGTAACAAACACAAAAACATTGGGTTTTTGGGGGTTTGCCATCCAAATAGGATGAATGAGAACAGTTTAAGTCCAGGATTTAAACTTCAGAGTGTGTAGGAGAGGGTAACAGAACAGATCATCACTGGTAAAGACCATCACTGTATTTTTGTGTCTGTACTGGATGTTGTCAGATGGTGTAGTGATCTGTGTAATAATACATTTCTACTTCCCTTAGTTTTTCCTCATTCTGCTGAAGGAAAACCCCCAAATTCTCTCTCATTTGGAATCATGCATAGATAGTCCTCATCCAATTCACGGGTTTTCAACCTTGCTCTGAGGAACAGCACCCTGACATGAAATCCTCAGGGATGCCTCTGTTTTAACAAGAAAGTAGCAATGTCCTCCTCAGATGTGAAATGAAGTCTTGGTGAATTTACCAACATTGAACAGATCCTTTCTCAGGGCTCCTTTCCACACGGCCTGATCTCACCGACATGCCTCCTGCCTACCAGGTCAGGACAATTCAAGCTTCCAGCAACTGCTGACCACGGATCACAACTCCAGCCATGAGCAGGTGTGAGCGGCTTCTCTTCCCATCAACCTGGGGTTTTTCTGACTTGCTCAGGGTGACCCAGCAAGGTCACTGGGGAGTCCAGCAGCCCTTCCCCAAACATTCCTGCCACTTCCTTGGACTGAGCCAGCCAATATCACTACCATTTCTTCCATGTAATGAAGAAAAAAATATCTCATTTATTGTTTAAGAACTCACTTTTGATGACAGATAAGACTGAGGAGCATTTTCTACCTGTAGGATATTGTTACTCATCACATTCTTTCAAGATTTCTCATCAAGGAGGCAGGTGACTATTTACTCTGATAGGACATTTATGAACCTAATCTGGGTATTTAGAGGAAGTCAGGCTTTAGAGGAAGAAAATCAAAACAACCTATCACACATCACTCCATTATTCCCCAAGTGTTTATTCAATACCTACTAGGTGCCAGGCACTCTTCCAGGCTTTGGGGATATGGGAATGAAGAAAACATAAAAAATTTCAGCCCTCATGGAGCTTATATTCAGTGGGACCAACAGGTAACAGGCAAGCTAAGGGAAAAGAATGAGTTAGAAAGAGTGGAATTAAGGAGAAAAAAATAAAAGAGCAAGGGAAGAGGATATGTATTGAACTTTTAGGGATGGTGGACCTCACCAGGAAGAGGGTCATTTGAGTCCCTCACACAAAGGGAATAAGGTGTGAGTGTACCTGGGGAAAGAGCTGGCACAAGTGTGTGTAGATGGGCAGGACTGGCCTGGAGGAGCTTACTCAACAGTGGGAAACAGGCTTTTCTTGCAGAAACACACGCAGAGAGGCAACCCCTTTTGGACTTGGCATCATTCTTGGTTAGGTCAAGGTCATGCTGATGGTGAGAAGATCCCATGGAGCATCAACACACAGGGAGCTGTGCCTCTGTATGGGGCAGGCACTGGTAAGGACTGAAGGTATTTTTATTTGTTTTAAATAATTTCAACTTTTATTAGGGATGAAAGGATATATGTGCAAATGTGTTACATGGGTATATTGCATGACGCTGGGGTCTGGGGTCCTGTCACCCAGGTAGTGAGCATAGTAACCAATAGGTGGTTTTTCGGCCTTTGCTCCCTCCCATCCTCCCCCAACTAATAGTCCCCAGTGTCTGTTGTTCTCATCTTTATATCTATGAAGATATAAAGAGGCATTCAATGTTTAGTGCCCACTTATAAGTGAGAACACATGGTATTTGATTTGCCATTCTTGCATTAATTTGCTTTAGATAATGGCCTCCAGCTCCATCCATGTTGCTGCAAAGGACATAATTTCATTCTTTTGAAGGCTGTGTAGTATTCTATTGTGTATGTATATACTGTTTTCCTTATCCAATCCACTGTTGAAGGGCACCTAAGTGGATTCCATGTCTTTGCTATTGTGAGTAGTGCTATAATGAAAGTATGAGGGCATGTGTCTTTTTGACAGAGTGAATTATTTTCTTTTGGATATATACGCAGTAGTGGGATGGCTGAGTCGAATGGAGTTCTGTTTCAAGTTCTTCAAGAAACTGCCAAGCTGCTTTCCACAGTGGCTGAACTAGTTTGCATTCCCACCAACAGTGTATAAGCATTCCCTTTTCTCCATCGCCTTGCCAGCATCTGTTATTTTTTGACTTTTTAATAATCGCGATGCTGACTGGTGTGAGATTGTATCTCACTGTGGTTTTGATTTGCATTTCTCTGATGATTAGTGATGTTGAACATTTTTTTCATATGGCCACTTGTATGTCT